TGTAATGAAAATGCATGAACTATAACTAAATGTAACAACAAGGATGAATCTCACAAACATATGAAGTCAAAGAGGCCAGACACAAATGAGTACATCCTATGGGATTCCATTTAGATAACATTTTAATACTGGCAAAATTAGCCTATGGTGTTGGAAGTGAGGACAGTGGTTACCCTTGAGGGCGAAGGTAGTTAGTAGATGGGGACATGCAAAGCCTTCTGGGGTTCTGGTAATCCTGTTTCCTGATCTGGGTACTGGTTACATGGGTGTTTCGCTCTGAGAAAATTCATTGAGCTGTATACTTATTTATATGTGACTTCACTGTATGTGTGTCATGCATCAATAAAAAGTACTCTCCTCCACCCTCTAAAAGAAGGACAAGGTCGCAAACAAAATGCGTGATGGGAAGGTAGAACTGGATTCCCAGTGTAGAACCTGAAAGTGAGAAAGAACTGTGCAAAGGATCCTGACAGAAGGCAGGTCACCTGCTCCAGGCCACAGGTGGAAATGCATACCCGTGATCGATCCTGTGCAATGTGTGGATGCAGTAGGCTCAAGTTCAATTCTAAGTGATACAGAAACCCTGCCCCGAGATACCAAAGTAAAAACTGGTTTGAAACCAGGAAACCTTGTAGACCCTGTCAGAGCCACCCCACTTGGAAGACTCTACCACTTGGGCCACTTTTGAGACTCCAGGCAAATTGGCTGTTGATCATGTTTTGAAAGCTACAGATTGGTTTACAATACACTGGCCAAGGCCAAGGCACCCGCCAGCATCATTTCTCTGTGTGGCAGGCAAAGTTAATAGATTTCTTGCTTTAGGACATAGCTTGGTTGACCGTAAGAGTTTTATATGAAGAAGAACTTCCATATATGTGCAATTCCCCCATTAGACTGCAGTTCCTTGACAGTAGGGAATTTGCCTGTCCATCACTGTATCTCCAGCACACAGGATAATGCATAGTATACATTTGGGGTTCAAAAATGATTGTTTAAAAAGGGATTAGGGGCGCCTGGGTGGCTCAGTCGGTTGGGCGGCCAACTTCAGCTCAGGTCATGATCTCGCGGTCTGTGAGTTCGAGCCCCGCGTCGGGCTCTGTGCTGACAGCTCAGAGCCTGGAGCCTGTTTCAGATTCTGTGTCTCCCTCTCTCTGACCCTCCCCTGTTCATTCTCTGTCTCTCTCTGTCTAAAAATAAATAAACGTTAAAAAAAATTTTTTTAATAAAAAAATAAAATTAAATTTAAAAAAGGGATTATTTGGTAAGGGGACGCTAAGTAGTTGTAGAGCACCACTGTGTGCTCATCATAGTGCTGTGTGATTTTGTGTGTGACTTCATGGATATTCTTTTATTGTTTTTGCTAAACATTTCAAGCAATTTGTAACAAGGGGCTTTGTCAGTTGTGTTACATAAATTGAAACTGTATTCTCCAGAGTAGGATTCTTGTATCCTAGGGTATGCTCCACAAGAGGACTCAGTGGGATATGGAAAGAAAATATTGGGGGATGGAGGGAGGAGAGATGGATGTGGGGGAAAACACAAAAGACCTTTTTTTAAAGGTCCTGTGATATAGTTGGGAGTTCGAGTTATTTTTGAGTAGAAATTTCAGATCTAGTATTTACCAGTTGTCTTCATCATAAGCCTGGAGAGGACTTCATTGTTGTTTGGTGAGTCAGAATGAGTCTGATAAAATACTGCATTCTTGATATGAAAAGCTCTTCAAAGGATAGGAGGTATATCTATGTTAGTGTTTAAACCAAAATATCTTAATGAAGGAGAATGGGTGGGGGGAATAGGATCAGTACTAGACTGTTTACCACTGTTTAAGTTATCCTTGTTCTTAATCTAAAGACTTTCTAAATGCAATGAGATAGTGGGCTGGGTTTCTCTGAATTGGTCATGACCTTGTGCGTGTTTTGATAAGCTTAATAGCACTTGAATGATCTTGCAGTGGGAAGAGAATAAAAAATTTCTGGGATTTTAGTCCGCGTTATTTTATCCTCCGTGTCTCAAACTGTTTCATGATTTCAGTGTTTTTGCTTCTCATTCTCTCTGTGCCACATTCTGGATAATTTCCTCAAATCTAGGTTCCGTTTGTCCAGTCCTCTCTTAAACTGTATATGCAGTCTTCTGTTTTACCTATCTATTGAGTTTTTATGCCAACAATCATAATTTTTATTTCTAGACATTGCATATTGTCTTTTTTTTTTTAATTTTTTTTTCAACGTTTATTTATTTTTGGGACAGAGAGAGACAGCATGAACGGGGGAGGGGCAGAGAGAGAGGAAGACACAGAATCGGAAACAGGCTCCAGGCTCCGAGCCATCAGCCCAGAGCCTGACGCGGGGCTCGAACTCACGGACCGCGAGATCGTGACCTGGCTGAAGTCGGACGCTTAACCGACTGCGCCACCCAGGCGCCCCTGCATGTTGTCTTTATATATATGATGGTCTCTCTCAATCTTTCTCTTGGGTTTTGTTCAGCAACACAGGTAGTTTGCGTTACGGGTTCCAAACCTGTGTGGTCAGGTGTTCTCCTGGAAGACTTTCCTTCTTTGAGGGGTGGATCCAAGAAGGCAACATCCCCATCTTCCCTCTGTGGGCCAGCATTTTTCTACTTTGCCTTTCAGGGATTCCATATTATACAAGGTTGTCAGAACAGAGTTCCCATCATTCTTACCTCAGGCTTGTCTCCATCTCTACATCACCTGGGACTAACAGGTGGCCCTGGGGCAAAAGCATCCAACACTCACTCACTCAGAGATTTCTCCTCATTTCTGACCTGAGAGGTTTCCCTTATTTTCTTAACAGTTCAGTCATGTGTTTAAAAACATGCTTTGAGTGCAGTAGTATCAAATATTATAACCATTCTGTAAGAATGTGTGTGTGTGTGTGTGCGCGCGCGCCTGTGTGCATGTGTGTTGGCTTGTATATGCATTTTTTAAAAGTCTGGAAAGATGAACAAGAAACTAATATTGCTGAGAATGTGGTGGTAAGAACGTGGCAGATGGGGGACAGGGGCGACAGGGAGACTTCTTTACGTGAATATTTTAATATCTTCAGTGATTTGAACCATGTGGATACAACTGGTTCAGTCAATTAAATATATAAGTTTTTTTTTTGTCTCCAGCAGTCTATATGTTCTCTATTGGCTGGGTTTCCTCAGACATCTAATCTGCCATTTTGTTAGATATGGAATAGTGGTCATTTTTGTGGTTATATAAATTTTAGATTATGGTTTTACCTCTGTCCAACCTCTCAATGAACTTGGTAGATGAATATTTTCCAAACTATCTATGGCAAAGGATCAGCTCTTTAAAATTTTTCCAGTCTGGCATGGACTAATACTCTGGTAAACTATAATAAAAATAAATACTGGGGGCGCCTGGGTAGCTCAGTCAGTTGACTGACTCTTGATCGCTGCTCAGGCCCTGATCTCAGGGTTGTCAGTTCAAGCCCTGTTTTGGGAGGCTACTAACTACATACATACATACATACATATACATACATACATACATACTGATCATGTGCTTGGATGGCATGGAAAGGTCAAAGTGCTATAAACATTTCTAAATGCTTCTCTCAATTTTTTCTCATCACAGACCAGTAAAAAGCCACTTTATTCACTGACCATACTGAGCAGCACTGCTGGAAATGGTGCCCCATTATTATCCAGCATTTGGGGACTGTGGATCAGAAATTGGTATCACTTTGTTCTTTAAGAAATCTTTTGTTGGTTTAAATTTTTTTCCATTGTAGGTAACCTGTTTTCTTTCTGTAAAATCTTTTATGGCTTTATCTGAAACATTAGATGTTCACTGTGGCACATCCCTGTCTTTAATTAGCTGAGAGTGAGCCCATGGCTAACTGTTCTGGATGATGGTAGTGATGTACTTCCAGAAGTCATTCCTAGATTAATTGCGTATTTCATCAAATCCAGGATGCTAGTGTTTTCTTGATCTTCTAGAAGGTTTCATTGGTTGGGTTTCATGCTATTAATTTAGGACTTCCATCTGACTGCTACCAATCATAAGATGCCATTGATTTCGGAGATGTTAAAATGTGGAAGAACGTGTGTCTTAAAATATCTTGCACGTGGCCCCCTGATTGTTCTAACCTGTAATTACTGTTGAGTGCTTAGAGACGTGCTTATGAGAAGGAGGAGGGAAGACTTTGGTGACCTCCTTTAGAAACATCATCACTCTGCTGAAAGGCATCTCTTCTCTTTGTTGTGACACCGTGAACATTAACTGGGGCAAATTCTCTCTTTAATTGGCATGGCTTCCCTCCTCAAGAGCCATGGGATGGGCCAGCACTGAGAACCTTGGCCAGCTTATCTGTGAATTGGTGGCAATGGTGTATCTTCCAGTGTCATTACCAGACATTTTTCTCATTATTGAGATTTCAAATTCCCTCTGTTCCATCCCAGCCATTCTGAGCTTGTGAATATTGGGAGTGCTGCTAGTTATCCCATTTTCTTGCTTGCCCTGCTGGTAGCCTAGTGCTTCTTTCAATCATGTGTTATGTGGACTGCTTACTATAGAAATATCTCAGATTTTTCTGGTTACACTTCTCTATTTTTCTGGGGAAGATAGGGATTTCCCTCCCCCCGCCCCCTACAGTTTTTATAGTTTTTGGTCTCTTTTGATGGCTCTTTGGGAGGAAGGGCAGTTAATGTGTAGGCTAACACTATAATTCATTTCTTCACCATGTCTTTATTGAATGGCTACTCTTTGCCAAGCATAGTTCTCTAAGCACTGTACGTACAGCAATAAACAACACTCTTCAGCTCCAGCCTCCATTGGAACATTCATTCTGCTTAGATCTGGTTTTCCTAAACTGGATGCTTACCTGATTACTTTCCTTCATTTTCAGATAACCCTTTAAAAAGATGTCAATTAAAAAAAAATTTAACTTGGTAGTTTCTTGATAGCTTGACGCATACTTTATATAGCACTATTATGTTCTCCAGAAATAACGTATATATTATTTGCTTTTCAGCCGATTACACCTCAACAAGAAGGCAACGGACAAACAGCCATATAGCAAGCTCCCAGGTGTGTCTCTTCTGAAACCTTTGAAAGGAGTAGATCCTAACCTAATCAACAACTTGGAGACATTCTTCGAATTGGATTATCCCAAAGTAAGTACAGTCATGTACTCATTAGAAATGGGTGGGATCATGTTTGTTTGGTTTTTGGTGTGTGTGTGCGTGCACACGCTTCTCCCTCATGGTAAACACTTAAAGAGGCATTCTGATACTGTAAAAGGTGAAGGTATTAAACATTCATGGTCATCTCGGCCTCATACAACTTATGCTCTAGTAGCAGCAGTCACAGGACAGAAATGGGGTTGAGGAAGGGAGGGGTGCAGATTCCTTTTTGTAACCGCTTGTCCATCTGAATTTGAAATCTGTGAGTAAACCTCCTGGAACTCGGACATGGTTAAGTGCCTGGCATTGTGAATATAAAAATCTTGTTCCATGAGAGTTGTACGTGAATGACAGGAAGAAGAGGCAGTGAGAAAGAAAAAGCCGCGTTTAATGGTCTGAAATGGGATTCAGGATAGCTAGAAGTAAACATAACCCCCCTGTAAAATGTGGCTTTTGAGCCAAGAATAGGTTGCAGTTAGTGATAACATGGGTCTTCCTCATACCTAATTTCTAACTTCTGTATCTTTCTGAGTTTTAATGCCCAATTGTTTTGTTCCTATCATTTATCTATACAAGTTGTAGATCTATGAACTCAACCTAATCCTTCATTGGAGAACTCCTGGTTTTGTTGAGATGAGAGTATTCTTTTTATCTCTTCCTTTTAATATTCCACCTGTAGTTTCTTTTTTTTTTTAAGTTCATTTATTTATTTTGAGAGTGAGAGAGCGTATGAGCGGGGGAAGGGCAAAGAGAGAGGGAGAGAGAGAATCCCAAGCAGGCTCCACACTGTCAGTGTGGACCTTGAGGAGCTCTGTGCGGGTCTCGATCCCACAAACCATGAGGTTAAGGCCTAAGCCCAAATCAAGAGTCAGATGCTTAACCGACTGAGCCGCCCAGGTGCCCCTCTGCTTATAGTTTCTTACGAGAACTTAACTATTCCTCGATTTATGTATTTAGCTTCATCTCAGCTTTTTAAATTGCCTGTTTGAAACACTGCTTTTGGATGTCTCTTTACATGTCTGCATGCTTGATTTTAAGTCCATTTGAATTTTCCCTCCATGGTCTCTATTCACTTGCCTCAGTTTTTACCCTCACTGTCTCAGCGTTTCTATAGTTTTTGCCACTTGGAGACTCCTTCCTATTTCTTTAGGACAGTGTAACCCAAGTAATGAGAAGGAAGATAAAATACACACCACACTTCTCGTAGTAACTGGTTTTCATGCTCTTATTTTCTTTCTTTTTGCTCTTATTTTTCTCAGTAGCATCAATGAAAAGAATAGAGAAGACACAGACGTGATAGCCTTAATGCAGCTCTTATTAAGTATGTAGACACGAGTATAATTCAGTTATTTTGTAGTGTTTTTATATTACTGCTTTTAAAGTTTGGAAGTTGAGGTATTTGAATCTAATTTTAAGCAAAACCATTATGTGTTTTTCTTACAGTTTGTGTGTGTTGTGTATTATATATGTATTTAATAATTTTAGAGATCTGAATCACGCATGTATTATCTATCCCATAAATTGACTATGTAATTAAAAAAAAAAAAAATAAGATCTGGGGCGCCTGGGTGGCGCAGTCAGTTAAGCGTCCGACTTCACCCAGGTCACGATCTCGCGGTCCATGAGTTCGAGCCCCGCGTCAGGCTCTGGGCTGATGGCTCAGAGCCTGGAGCCTGTTTCCGATTCTGTGTCTCCCTCTCTCTCTGCCCCTCCCCCGTTCATGCTCTGTCTCTCTCTGTCCCAAAAATAAATAAACGTTGAAAAAAAAAATTAAAAAAAAAAAAATAAGATCTGTACTTGATTTTTTTCCCAACTAGAAGTGCAAAAAGTGGCCTTTAATAAAATTAATTGTAAACTAAGCTTTGCAATAAGGAATATGGAAGGTTTTTTCAGGAATGCCTAGGTGGTTCAGTCAGTTGAGCATCTGACTTCGGCTCAGGTCATGATCTCACATCTTGTGAGTTTGAGCCCCACATCTGGCTTGCTGATGTCAGCGCAGAGCCCACTTCTAATTCTGTGTCCCCCTTTCTCTGTCCCTCCCCCTTTTGCGCTCTCTCAAAAATAAACGTAAAAATAAAATAAAAATGGAAGGTTTTCAAGCCTCACATTGTATAAATACATGCAGAGAGATTTTTTTTTTTAATGTTTTTTAAGTTTGTTTATTTAGAGAGAGTACAAGCAAGGTAGGAACAGAGAGAGAGAGAGAGAGAGAGAATCCCAGGCAGGCTCCGCACTGGCAGTGCAGAGCCTGACGTGGGGCTTGAACCCACGAACTGTGAGATTATGACCCAAGCTGAGACCCAGAGTCTGTCGCCTAACCAACTGAGCCACCCAGGTGCAAGAGATTTTTTTAATAAATGAAAGAATATCTTCATTGATTATTACTAAATCTCAGAACAGCTTAGAATCATACCTTTATCCTTGTGAAACTTAATGTCACATTTCAATTTTTTAATCCTCATCCTACCCTTTCCCCATTCAACCACTCTCAACTAAGTTATGGAACTTCTGTGTGGCAGCCCTTGTGAGATGATAGTCACAGAATTTAATTGGTTGAGGAAGTTAGTGTGGGCTTTAGTTGTAGAAAGAGTTTCTAAAAATAATCCAGGAACATATGTATCCATTAATTCTGAACATTTGGGGTAAGTCGATAACTGATTTCTTCTGAATGATTTTTCTTTTATTACAATGTGGGATTATCTCAAGAGCTCTTGTTTTTGCTTTTTTCACAAATTATGCCTTTGAGGTATTTAAATTCATCAAGGAGAAAACTATTTTGATTCTTACTATAAAATGAGGAACTCCAAATGTAAGAGATTGTTTTTTATTACTTTTTCAAAATTTTATTTACTAATTATAAAAGTACTGTTAGCTGTGTAAATCGAAAATTTGTAAAAGTGGACGAAAAGTGTTAAGCACCTGCAGTCTAAAGGAAAATTTGGATCTCATGGCATTTCATTTGCTTTTTATTTTTTAAAGTTTTAAATATTTATTTATTTTTGAGAGACAGAGTGTGAGTGGGGGAGGGGCAGAGAACGAGGGAGACCCAGAACTCCGAGCAGATTCCAGGCTCCAAGTTGTCAGTACAGAGCCCAATGCGGGGCTCAAACCCACGGACCATGAGATCATGACCTAAGCTGAAGTCGGATGCTTAACTGACTGAGCCACCAGGCGCCCCAATTTCGTTTGATTTTTAAAAGACCAAGAGCAATGGCCCATGTTCCACAAGAAACTAAAGTGAAACCACTGACCTCCCACCAATCTGAGTGTGAACAGACAAGTCGCTTGTGTGCCCAAGGAGGCCTGTAGTCCTGAAACGAACATTTGTGTGACTGCCAGGCCCAGCAAACTTTACTATTTGCTTTTTGTCGAGTGTGAACACTGTTTTAGAGAAGTATGTCTGGTTTCATCCTGGACCTAAACTTTTCCTCCTGATTTGATTTGGAACATTATAGGTGATTCTAGAAAAAAAAAAGAACATGGTCAGAAATTTAATTTTGGACACGTGCAAGAAAATTTCTTGTTCTGGTACTTGTTCTAAATTTCTAGGTTTAAATTTTGGTGAGACTGTTACTATGTTAATTGTCCTGAAAGATTTTTGTGCTTTACGTGTCTTATCAATTCACTTATTTTGATATTTATTCTTGGGGGGGGGGGGGGGGGGATGGAAAAGCCATGTAATTCATTTTCCGCAAATTGAGCACTCGGTGGCAGCAAAGAAGGCATTTAGGGAGAGATTTAGCTGTAGCAGGAAGATTCAGCAAAATAGCTTTACTTTAGTAAATCCTTGCCATATGAAGAGTTTTTTAGTTAAATGATCAGAATTCTGACCAGAGTGAGGCTGTGGTCATTGTGGTGGGTTTTTTGCTTCTTTTGCAAATACACAATTGGTTTAAAATGTTACAAGTCCAGTGGCCTTACCAGTGGTGTAGCTCTCCTTAAGAAGAATTATTTTCTAACTGGATAGTCTTCTAAACAAAGAATTAGAAGACAGAAAATCGAATCCATTATCGAAAGACCAAGCACAACATATGTTAGTGAAACTTCCAAATCTGCAAGATTAGGAATTTACCAAGTAAATTTGGAAAACAGTATAAACAAACTGTTTCTTGAAAATAGAGATGCATATAACTCAACTTGTCCAGTCTTTGAATTCAGAGCTGTGTTCTTACGAAACATTTCCTTCCTGGCATCTGTCTTTTACTCAGAAGTTACCCTAAAGACACATGCATTAACTTATAAGTGTATTATTAATCGTTCCATGCCAGAGACTGTTCTAGGCATTTGGGGTCTAATTCTCTTCTTGTCATAGAATATTTATATTCTGTAATCCAAATACCCTCATAAAATTTTTCTTTAAAAATGATATGTAGTTATTTATAGACAATTCAAGATATTCCTACTTGATATGCAATGTAATTGATTAATATCATTAAAAAGTTTTCTATTTTGGGGTGCCTGGGTGGCTCAGTCGGTTAGGCGGCCGACTTCGGCTCAGGTCACGATCTCGCGGTCTGTGAGTTCGAGCCCCGCATCGGGCTCTGTGCTGACAGCTCAGAGCCTGGAGCCTGTTTCGGATTCTGGAGGGTCATGCTCTGTCTCTCTCTGTCTCAAAAATAAACGTTAAAAAAAATTAAAAAAAAAAAGTTTTCTATTTTAAGAAGATGTTTTGTCTTGTTTGCTATAGTTCAAAATTTATATTCCTAATGTCTACAGGGCTGAATCAGTGAGCCCTTTTTTCTTATGTCATTTATATACCTAAATTTAATGCTATATATGCATCTGAACGTAGCATACGTGATTATTGCCATTTCAGACATTCACTTCTTGAATATCAAAGGGCTGGATCCCAGGTTGTGGATTTCCTACACCTCTCTTGTTCTCAGCCTTTTAGTCATTGTACTGTTTGAAAAGGAAATTACTAAGGAGTTGTTGGAGACTAATCTTCTCATCTAAATTACTCTGGGTTTTAGGTGTGCCTGGTTGTTTCAACTGAGTGTCCGTCTCAGGTCATGATCCTAGGGTTGTGGGATCGAGCCCTGTGTTGGGATTTGCGCTGAGTGTGGAACGTGCTTAGGATTCTCTATTTCTGTCTTTCTCTGTCTGCCCCTCTCCCCCGTTCGCACTCTCAATAAAATAAAATAAGATAAAATAAAGAGATATGAAAAGTTTATTAAAAATAAATATATAAATTGCTCCGGTGTATATTTCTAGATTCATACTGCCCATTTATACTGGAATTCACTGTATTGTATAGCTGTTTCAGATTTATAAAGTAAGCGTTTTCTTGAAATATTTTTAAAGTGTAATATTTTTAATAAATGCTATATTTTTGAACATATATACTTACATTTGATCCTTTAGATAGTGTAAAAATATACAAAAAAATTTTTTGTTTATTTTTGAGAGAGAGAGAGAGAGAGAGAGAGAGAGCACGAACGGGGGAGGGGCAGAGAGAGAGAGGGAGACACAGGATCGGAAGCAGGCTCCAAGGCTCCGAGCTGTCAGCATAGGGCCCGACATGGGATTCAAATCCCCCAAACCGTGAGATCATGACCTGAGCCAAAGTCAGACGCTTAACCTGCCGAGCCATCCAGGCACCCCTAAAAAAACTTTTTTTGTATTAGCTAAGAAAGCTTTCAACCAACTTACTATGCTGTGTTTTGCCGGTTACAGTGTAGTTGGAGTGATTTAATTATTCCAATACAGAGATTCCTAGCAAATAAAATGTTTGATTAAACTGAAGACACAGAGGTGGTTATCAGAGCTGAAAAATCAAGATTCCTGGTTAACATTTAATACCTTAGAACATAGTTGGAATGCTACCTCCTATTTGGTATAATTTTCAATATCAGAAACAAGCGAAAGCATAAGTCGTGTGTTTAAATAAAGTCTGAACATTTTTTAGATAATATGAATTGAGTTTTATTTGCACTCTGGCTAATCAGGAGGTGTTTGGTTTTCATTTGAAATTAAAAGGCATAATCAATAAAAATGGAAACTTTAAATCTTACATTTGAATAAAGGTAAACTCTGTCTCCTTTGAATACTTTTCTAGAGCTGTATTTTGCAAAGTTTTCTCTTGCTAGGGAAGAAAGCAAAGACTAACGTTTTTTATTATATTTTATGGAATTGTATCATTCAAAAAATTTTTTTTTCAACGTTTATTTATTTTTGGGACAGAGAGAGACAGAGCATGAACGGGGGAGGGGCAGAGAGAGAGGGAGACACAGAATCGGAAACAGGCTCCAGGCTCCGAGCCATCAGACCAGAGCCCGACGCGGGGCTCGAACTCACGGACCGCAAGATCGTGACCTGGCTGAAGTCGGACGCTCAACCGACTGCGCCACCCAGGCGCCCCTGGAATTGTATCATTTACGAACATTTCCTTTCACTTGTATTTGCTCATACCTGCAAAACAGCATAAATTATAAAAGCATTAAAGAAACTGAGGTGTTGGGAAAAACTAGGCATTCTTACAGCAAGGGTGGCTGAGCAGCTCACTCTAAGAGGGAAGCTAATTGTAACTTTTACCCTTTGGAAAGTCACTTAATCTTTCTGATCTTCATTGTTAAGGTCGATGCCTTTTGGCTAGTTCAGCGGAACATTGTTTTGAGAGTCAGGTTGGGAAGAGGACTGATGCTTTACAGGATTTAGGAGTCAACCCTTTGGAAAATTCAAGGGCGTGGGCAGGAGTGGTGTCCTTCCCATTCTCAGATTTTTATCTGGTCCCTGAAGACTAGGTAGCTATAAAGTTGGCTTCGATACCTCCTGAGTGGCAATTTTGGTCAGTCATCATTAAAGGCAGCTAGTTGATAGAATGTATAATAATAATAGGTACAAAGTATGAGAAAAGTATACATTGTTTTCCCAGAATCGACTTAACTATTGAGAAAACTTTTTTTTTTTTCCACTTGAAAAAAAAAAACTTATTACCTTCTTCATTGACCTTAGTTAGTCCTGGCCCTTCTCATACTCAGCCCTTAATTTCCATATTGCCAGTTTTTGCTGAGTTTCCCTTTACCTGAGCTGGTTCCTGTATGTTAGATACTTAAAAAGCTATGTCCTTAGCTCTTTGTATTTTTTTTTTTTAAAACACATAGCTTTGTTTTTTCGGGGACACAACTAACCTCCCTCCTTTGCTTAAAAATGTCCATCCCATTTTAGAAAGAGAATTGGTAGGATATTTGTCACTGAGTCAGCATGAATTTAGCAGCACTTAAAAAAAAAGTTACTACTAAGAATACTTATCCCACAAAATAATAAAGTAGCATCTTTGTATGTGAAAGCAAACACTTTTTTTTTTAAAAAAAATGTAGTAGTTTATTAAATGGTAATTTAAAGGTTTAGCTCCAGATTTTTTAAACCTAGTTACATGTCCGAACTGCCCCCAGAGATTCTAATTCAAAAGTAAGAGTGGGGCCCAGTATTCTCTTTAAATAAATGTCCCAGGGTAACCGACACAGCCAGTCAAATGTGAAGAAATGACTTCCCTAATGTCCTATCAAAGAGTAAACATCCTATCAAAGAGTAAACGTAGCACTGAGCAAAATAAAACCCTGGATATTTTCATTGTTAGAAGGCTAATCATGCTTCTCAGGATGATAGACTTTCAACCAAATTCTATTTTATTTCAAAAAATTATTATACAGCAAAAATCTAATAGCACTTTGTCCTTTTCATGGGAAGAGTTTGGAAAAACTCTTTACGTTGATCATTCTGGGTTTTGATACATACTTTATGGCACCTTCATGAAATAGTAACTTCAGAGACAGAGCTTCTAGAGAACAGGGAGATGTTTCATGATGAAGGCCACAGAGAAGCTTGAGATCCAGTTTAATTCAGGCCATGCCTGTCTGGGAATGGCAAGACTTCCAACTGTGGGGGTTGCCAGTCTCTTCATTATCTCTGCTGCTTGCAAATCACCCCTGTTCTGGAGAAGCTGCTCTCAATTAAAGCAACACTTGATGTCATAAGTATTTGCATCGTTATGAGTACTCTCTTAACTTTTAAATGCTGTGTGTACAACGGCTTCTTTTTCCTAATGCTTTTTATCAATCAGTAAATACCAATAATGTGCTTATTTTTGTAAAAGAGGTTTAATCTCCGTAAAATGTGTTCTTTGACTAGTATGAAGTACTCCTTTGTGTACAAGATCACGATGATCCAGCCATTGATGTATGTAAGAAGCTTCTTGGAAAATACCCAAATGTTGATGCTAGATTGTTTATTGGTAGGTAACAAATAAATTCTACCATAACCCTTTTGCTTTAATAGTATTAAGTATCAGTAATCCTTGCATTGAACTATAGATTAAGCTGTTAGCCACCCACTGATGTTATTGGGATGTTTGCTTTCTGAGTGTTTGTTAGAGTAGGGAAAGGTGTTTCTAGCCTTTCGAGAGAACTTAAGTTATAAAAACACAGGGTGGTGGTGGTGGTCATCGTTGTTTTTCCATATCTGGGATTAACAAAATAACCAAAAAAAAAAAAAAAACCACCCCAAGTTATGTTTTTCTCAGACACGAGAATCTGTTATTTTTGTTTCTTTACTATTTTCAACCTGTGGGCCTTCTTATATCTCATTCACTGTAGTTGGGAGTGAGCAATAGAATTTACTTTTATTATATTACAAAAAGAATATTTTTCAAAAGCCTGCAGGCTTATTCTAAAGACTTGTAGAGAGATATTCGCCATTAAACATTGATTCATACTTAACTATTGATGCAATAATTTAAGAATCAAACTGAAACTTAATATATTTTCAAAGACAAATTAATTCTCTTTTTGAGAACGAACAATTTTTTCTAAATATGAATAATAAGGAATGCAAAACACATTAAAGTATGTTTGTTTCTGTTATTACGTATGAAGGTACTTTTCACTTCTCCCTACCATGTATCTGTATAATAGAATATATTTTCAACGTTGGATGAATGTTTCATAGTTGTATCTTTAAATTTTTAGGTGGCAAAAAGGTTGGCATTAACCCTAAAATTAATAATTTAATGCCAGGATATGAAGTTGCAAAGTATGATCTGATATGGATCTGTGATAGTGGAATAAGAGGTGAGCTGCTTTTTATTTGTTTTACAGACCTATTCATTTGATGATAAAATGCCAAAAGCATTCTAAAAATACATGCATCAATCCTTTTTGTTTGCCTAATAAAGTAATTCATTTCATCATTATTTCATGGTAAAATGTCAAGTTATACTTATTTGGAATTTTTTTTAATGCTACTCTAGAATGTTACATCTGTAGAATTGTTTTTGTTTTGAAGAGAAAATTCCAACTATTAAAAAAAGAATAGTCACGGTCTACCATACAATCCTTTACACAAGATTTTTCATAGTTGTAAGTTTTCCTGAGTTCATGTAATAACTTGTCTTTTACTTTAATCTGTTTATGGCACCAATACTGTCTCACACAAAGGGACAGAAATTAATAAGTGAGTATTTTACCGAAATGCAAACATGGCTTTTAATTGGTTTTAGGAGGAAAATATACTGAAATCATAATTTGCGTGTTTGCATTTTTAAACATTTATATTCTAATTACCGTAAGTTTCTCAAGCTCAGTATTTGGGGTTGGGTGATTGTTGTTGAGGCTGCCCTATGGGATGGTTAGCAAGCATCCCTGGCCTCTCCACACTAGATGCCAGTAGCACCTCTTTCTCAGTAGTGACAACCAAAAATGTCCCTAGACGTTGCTAAGTGTCCCCTGCAGGGCAGCAGTTGGGAACCACTGTTGTAGAATATGTGTATTTAAGGCCCAAATACACTTTTATACAATAGGTTTGTTCATAGCTTTTGTATTTTTGAAGGAAATAAAAATACAAAGTCATGGAAAAAGGTAGGAGGTGTTTGCTATTTGAAGAGGGGACAGTGATTTAAATTTTTTTTATTAGCTTGAAACACAGATGTGAAAATTAATAGAAGTGTGACATGCCTAATTAATCAGGCTCATTGTGAGTCTTGTCAATTCATGGACAGAGAGACTACGTTCATTCTTCGTGTTTGCTACCTTAAATTATTTTCTATCATACATTTGTTTTCATGATATATGTTCATCTCTTGGTCAAGTATAATCTCATTCAATTCCCATTAGCAGTTTTATGACATAGGATATCTCGTATCCTCCAAGAAAGTGGAGGCTCATATTCTGTAGTTAGAGAGTGCAGGAAACCAGCATAAGAACTGAGGTCCTTTCAGCTCTGCTCCTGTAACTTTTCCATTAGGAACACATTGTCCACATTCTAGTTTGGAGGTTCTGAAATAGGGGGAGTACCATTTTCAAGGTATATCCTGGCTCTGGTACATAGTAGCCTGAAAGTGTAGAGAGTAAATTAGCTTATCATAAAGTATGCCTTTTTGAAATTTTGTATTCTACCTAGAAAAGTGATTGAGAATGATTTTATTAGATCCAGATGTAAAAAAGAACTTTATAACAGCTCACAAAATACATTTCACATTGGTGGGCATTTTACTAAAAAGGATTGTTTTTTTCTTTTTCCCTCACCACCTGTTTGTCTTTTTTTATTGTAGTAATTCCAGACACACTTACTGACATGGTTAACCAAATGACAGAGAAAGTGGGCCTGGTTCATGGGCTGCCCTATGTAGCAGACAGACAGGGCTTTGCTGCTACATTAGAACAGGTAAGTATGGTTGTCATAGATAATATTGTCGCATCCCTGATCTTCCAGAAACTTGAGATTATTCTGAGAGTTGGGATGGACTCCGTGGAGTTAACTGTAATTAAGTCTGTTTTAACCTGCTAAGTACTGGCATCCTCAAGATGAGAGTAGCTGTTTTAGTAGTGAAGAAATTCTTGGGCCCCTGGAATCACTCACAGCCGCACTCTGGCAGTGAATGGATGTGCACAGGAAATATCTTGTGGTCTCATTACCAGCTGAACACAATATATTGTTTCCTTCTGGTCCTTTCTTTCAGTTCCAGAGTTTGGTTCTAGGCTTACATAAAAGCACATGACATATAGTTCTTTCAGAAATCTAATCTGAAAATAATTTTTTTTTTTAAGATTTTAAGTATTAATCTCTACACCCAAAGTGGGGCTCAGACTCACAACCCTGAGATCAAGAGTCACATGCTTTTCCAACTGAGCCAGCTGGGCACCCCAAGAATCTTTTTTAAATATCAGAGTATTTGAAATACACACAACAAAGGAAAATTGTTGTTATAAAATTATAAGTTATTACAATTATAAGTTATTATAAAATCCATTTGATTTCCTTTTAAAATGGATTTCTAAAAATTACTGGAGAGGGGTGCCTGGGTGGTTCAGTTGGTTAAGCGTCCGACTTCGGCTCAGGTCATGATCTTGCAGTTTGTGGGTTCGAGCCCTGCGTCAGGCTCTGGGCTGACAGCTCATAGCCTGGAGCCTGCTTTGGATTCTGTGTCTCCCTCTCTCTGTCCCTTCCCTACTCACACTCTCTCTCTGTCTCAAAAATAAATAAACATTGAAAAAAAATTTTTTTAATTACTGGACAAACTTATTTTGTGGTTTCCATTTTTTTCTCTTCACCCTATAATAGAATTATATAAACTATAAATTGTGGGAAAATGTAAGAAGCAAAAAAACAAGCCATAATCCTACCAACTAGAGGAAGTTTCTATTTTTTTTCCTATATTGAGGTGGTACTCTAAAAACAATTCATATATGATTTTTGTCACTTCATCAGCTTTTCTCCCTATCCTTAATAATTTTTAACATTTAATTAAAAAAAATTTTTTTTTAACATTTATTTATTTTTGAGACAGAGAGAGACAGAGCATGAACGGGGGAGGGGCAGAGAGAGAGGGAGACACAGAATCGGAAACAGGCTCCAGGCTCTGAGCCGTCAGCACAGAGCCCGACGTGGGGCTCGAACTCACAAACTGCGAGATCATGACCTGAGCCAAAGTCGGCCGCTTAACCGACGGAGCCACCCTGGTGCTGCAACATTTAATTTTTTTTAAGTTTATTTATTTTGAGAGAGACAGAGACAGCACATGAGCAGGGAAGAGTCAGAGAGGGAGAGAGAGACAGAGCTCATCCCAAGCAGGCTCCATACTGTCAGTGCAGAGCCCAACGCAGGGCTTGAACCTACAAACCATGAGATCATGACCTGATGAAACCAAGAGTCAGACACTTAACTGACTGAGCCATCTAGGCGCCTCATGAGTAATTTTTTATAAAAGTGATTTTTGTTGACTGTATCATAGTCTATCATACTATCCTAGACCTGACTTAACCATTCCTGTGCTGCTAAACATTTAGGAAGAATGTTTTCACGTCATAAGGGAAGGACATATGGCTGCAGTCTTTTAAACACGTCAACTTGCTTTTAAGTGTATCTGCACTTGTATGATTTTGAATTGCAGTCTTGTGATTACTACAGATCTTAGGGGTAAAGGTACATTGTGTGTGGAATTTAACCTTTGGCACTTTGAGCCATGACCTCTTAATACTGCCCATGAATAGATTTGTCCTATTGCAAGTCTTTAAATATCAGAGTTTTTGTTTAGTAAGAGAAACTCTGAGTAGTTACTTTAAAATAAAATACTTAAAAATTTTTTTTTAGTATTTATTTTTGAGAGTCTGAGAGAGCGTGCGAGTGGGGGAGGGGCAAAGAGAGAGGGACAGAGGATCCAAAGTAGGCTCTGTACTGACAGCAGAGAGCCCGATGCCAGGGCCTGAACTCAGGAACCGTGAGACCGTGACCTGATCGGAAGTTGGACACTTAACCGACTAAGCCACCCAAGCACCCCAAAAATAAAATACTTTTTATTCTTATATGCCACATCATACTTTTGTTTTACAAATATCCAAGTTGATTTATAATGGCAGTGGTAAGCATCCCCCAGATCACACAAATCAGTGACTTAGGTTAAATGTAATCCTTAAAGGCCCCTTTGCCATACTTAGAGTGAATGGAAATAGAGGGATTGTTCCAGTCTGTAAAGAAATCCTGGGAGCCTTTGATGGAGTCCCTATTTCCACCTCATTCCTAAAGCCTCACTTAATAACTGCTTAAGAAATTAAGATGTGCGCTTCTGGTCTTCAGCGTTTGGTTCAGTTCAGCCCCATAAACCACAACTTCACTACAGTCTGGATGTTGAGCAGGCAGCAAGAATCCTGTTACTTGTCACCACCCCTGCCAGTTCTCTTGTTCCATGCTGTGTGTATGTAACTGCTGCCATTGGGAAAAATCACCGTTCTCTATTTCAAGCTAGTTAGGAAAGGCAGCATATCTAAGATGTACACAAAAGGGTTTTATGTCTAATAATTAGGATGATGACCATTTTATTCTACCACTAATTTAGCAACTTGCATAGCTCATGACTTCAAAGCATATCTAGGGAAAGGGGGAGTAAAATGGAAGACAGAATTTCAGTATCTTCCCTGTTTGTGAAAGATACATTGAAAGATAACATTGGGCAAATCAGGAAGAAGCTCAGTGACTCAGGGGCAGGAAGCAGCCAGCTATGCAAAAAAAGGGTGCAAAAAAGGAATTTAGAAACAGGATTGTCCTGTAGGTTGATAAACCTACAGGTGAATATTTGAGTATTTGTGTGTTATGTATGCATGTGTGAGTACACACATAAACACACGTGCATACGCATACACATATATGCATATACATACACCTTTATGTGTAGGGGTGTGTGTGTGCAGTTACACATATTTAAAGTACAATATATATTATATATTATAAAATATAATATATTAATGAATATTTTATATGTGTTTGAGTCCTATTTTTACCTGACTTATATCCAAATTAGGTTTTATTTGGATGAATCTTTAGGGAAGACAGTATTTATTTGGGAATACAATATATACTTTTCCCTCCTAGAAGTATATTTTTCTTCGTAATGGTAATAACAAGAATAGGCAACCAAACAAGAAATTACTGATTGCCTGCTACATGAAAACACTGTTTTATAAAAATTTTTATTCAGGTAGTTTATGTAAGAATAATAAGATACTCAGTCATACCTAAAGGATATTCTTTCGGAAAAAAAAAAGGTTTATACATACCATACTTTTTTTTTTTAATTTTTTTTTTTTAATGTTTATTTATTTTTGAGAGACAGAGAGACAGAGTGTGAGCGGGGGAGGGGCAGAGAGAGAGGGAGACACAGAATCCGAAACAGGCTCCAGGCTCTGAGCCATCAGCCCAGAGCCTGACGCGGGGCTCGAACTCACGGACCGCGAGATCGTGACCTGGCTGAAGTCGGACGCTTAACCGACTGCGCCACCCAGGCGCCCCATATACATACCATACTTTTAACATAACATCCTAATTACACACATATGTTTTTGCTTTTGTTTCGGCAGGTGTATTTTGGAACTTCTCATCCAAGGTCCTATATCTCTGCCAACGTAACTGGCTTCAAATGTGTGACAGGAATGTCTTGTTTAATGAGAAAGGATGTGTTAGATCAAGCAGGAGGGCTTATAGCTTTTGCTCAATACATTGCTGAGGATTACTTTATGGCCAAAGCCATAGCTGACCGGTAAGCAAACTAAATCACATTAGGCTGTAGTATTTTTAGTAACTGACTTCTGTTGGTTTATTGTATTTGTTAAAGTCTTGGATTAAGGGGCTATTTTATTTTAGTTTTTGCTAGTGAGTACAGAATAGGTCAATATTTTTTAAGAAAGTAATTCCTGTTCATAGATATTGTTATGAAAGAAATATGTGAATAAATGATTGTTCTACATTCTTTAAATTAATGTGATTTGACATAATGAAAAGGAAGCTTCTCTGTGATTATAAATTTTCATTATTATGGATGTAAATTTCTATGTGTTTTAGAAGAATTAAAAATGTTAGTGCAGTCATAAGCTAGCAGGTGATTTAAATTTAAAGATTTACAAAATTTAAAGAATATGATTCCACATTTTGGAATTTCTCAGATTATTTGATGCTCTGCTAAAAAGCCACTTTAACGATTCATATGAATGGCTTAACATTTTCTCTGTCACAAAATTGTTTGCTTTTAAAGGGGTTCATTGCCTCATGTGATAATTTACTAAAGATAGGATTTTAAAAATTGGTATGTTTTAAAAATTCATGATGCTATTCATGTGGCTCATAGTTTCATAGTGTTTCCAATGAGATGTATATATAATACCACTTTTGTTTGCATTTCATGTTGAATATCCACACACACATCACACATATTCCCCATCCCATCCCACCCCACTCCACCCCCCACTGCCCGCCATTTGATTTGGTGGGTTTTTTTTGGTTTTGGTTTTGGTTAGTAGTGATCAGAGACTAAACTATTAATTTTTTTTAACGTTTATTTATTTTTGAGACAGAGAGAGACAGAGCATGAACAGGGGAGGGTCAGAGAGAGAGGGAGACACAATCTGAAACAGGCTCCAGGCTCTGAGCTGTCAGCACAGAGCCCAATGTGGGGCTCTGACTCACGGACCGCGGGATCATGACCTGAGCCGAAGTCAGACGCTTAACCGACTGACCCACCTAGGTGACGCGAGACTAAACTATTAAATACGAACCCACTCCACTTGGTACTTTGAGAACATCTGTATTTTAAGTTTTTTAAACTGTAAACTGAGAGGTTGTAGCTCCTTCCAGTTCTAGATGGTACTGTCATAGTCCTGTGTATTTGCTAAAACATCCAGGAGTACGATACACCCTAAGTAGGGTGCTGATCCTGAGAACTAGGCTCACCCTGAACACCAACAGTTCTTAACTCCTTACAGTGATGAGTAAGTAAATGCATAACCAGTCATGCCTGCAGGTGTTCATCATCACAGTTCACTTTATAATTGTCTTAATTTTCAGAGGTTGGAGGTTTGCGATGTCCACTCAGGTTGCAATGCAAAACTCTGGCTCTTATTCAATTTCCCAATTTCAATCCAGAATGATCAGGTAAATCAGTTGGCTTTCTTCTTTTTATACATGGTTAAAAGAAAAAGGGGGGAGAGAGTAATTTTTACATGGTCTAACTTGATATTTAAAATATCTAAAAGTCAAATTTTTTAGTTCCAGAAAAGAGAGGTTAGCATCTTTGTTAAAATAAATTTAATGTCTAAATATATTTTCTTGCTGTGTAATCCTGAATGCATTCAGTAAAGAGATGTTGAGACTTTGCTATCTTTAATGTGCTGTTCTCTATTTTCTTTCTACACTTTGAATTTTATAATCTTTACTCATTAGAGTGTAGGCCATACAAATGAATTTATAGATTTTTTTCTTTAATGTACTAAATAAAAATAGAAAAGTGATTCTTAAATACTCTTTAAAGAGACAAGGGCTTTTATGTAACAGGCTAAAGAGCTGATCATTTGGGGGGCAGGGAATTGATTGGTCTTGTAACCAGGCTGTTTTAAAGAAAAGGTTTTTTTTTTTGTTTTTTTTTTTTAGGTGGACCAAATTGCGAATTAACATGCTTCCCGCTACAATAATTTGTGAGCCAATTTCAGAGTGCTTTGTTGCCAGTTTAATTATTGGATGGGCAGCCCACCATGTATTCAGATGGGATATTATGGTATTTTTCATGTGTCATTGCCTGGCATGGTTTATATTTGACTACATTCAACTCAGGGGTGTCCAGGTATGTGGACAGGCATGAAAAGGTTGGCAGTCATTTGGTGGAACTAAAACTGGTTTAATTTAGAAAAGCTTGAAATTTATCCAACCCATTCTTCAGCTTCCCATTGAAGGTTAACATCGGGTTTAAACATTACCTTCTTTAGTGGAATGTGGACAGAAAACTTAACTTGATTTTCAACTTTCAGGTGATAGTTATACTACCGCTTTTATTAAGCCTCCAAAAAAAATGATGTTAAGCAGTTCAGTTATCTAAAGAAGCAGGCTTGATTTCATATGGTATATTTTAAAAGAGTGAAATTGAAGAATTCCATTTTTTAACTGTGTATAGTTCGACAGTAAATTTTTGTTTTTTTAATTCCTAGGGTGGCACACTGTGTTTTTCAAAACTTGATTATGCAGTAGCCTGGTTCATCCGTGAATCCATGACAATATACATTTTTTTGTCGGCATTATGGGACCCTACTATAAGCTGGAGAACTGGTCGCTACAGATTGCGCTGTGGGGGCACAGCGGAGGAAATTCTAGATGTATAGCTACAGCTTTGTGACTGTACATAAAGGAAAAAAGAGAAGTATTATAAATTATGTTTATATAAATGCTTTTAAAGATCTACCTTCAGTAGTTTTATCACATGTATGTTTGATATCTGTTCTTTAATTTATTTTGCATGGCACTTGCATCTGTGGAAAAAAAAAAAAAAACCCACATCTGTAGTCTTGGCCAAATGGTACCCTTTGTTTTGTGGAAGTAGAGAATCAAGAGAATTGGTTCTAGGAACCTGGCTTTGGTTTTTGTTGTTGTTTGTTTATTTTTTAAAATAAATAAATATATATATATATATAAAATATATGAATGCTCTGCAGCAAACACTATGACAGTATCCTTCAGTAGAGAAAGTTTCTTACTTGTCAGTACACTCTTTTAGAACATTTATGGGATGGCAGCAGCTTTGTTTTGGGGTTTAGAAAAGACTAGAAAGTAATCACTTTACGGATCTAAAGTGAATGGTGTCACGTGGTGAACAGTCCACGGTGAGGTACTAAGAAACTTTTTCATGCTCTATGCCTACCTCTTGTAGTTGTTGCAGAGCAAATATAAATTGTAATAAGGTAGCTAGGCCTTGCAAAAACAAATGGAAAAACTTTAAAAATAATAATAAAAGAGCTGGAGTCTAGTATTTATATGAATCTGTGAGAGATATTTTTTTTTTTTTTTTTTGGTCTCACTGCAATGAACCAAAAGTGGTTGAGTTTGGTTTTTAATTGTAGCCATGTATTGAAGGCATCCTTTTGACCAACTCTTGTTGGTTCTGTCTTGAACCATTGTTAATCACTGTGCTGGTAGACCTTTCCTTCCCTGCTCCTCACCTGCCCAAGTCCCTTCTTCCCTTTTTTTTTCGGGGTGGGGGGGGTTGTTTTAGTGTGAGTGGATGTTTTGATAGTTGTGAGGAAAAATGCATTTCAGACACATTTCACACATGAGCTATTTTCTTACACAGTATGTCTTGTTAAAAAGAATGTAATTTCATGATACAGGTATTTAATATCTTTTTTAAGTAAATATTCTAGCCATCAAATAAATTGCAGTAGAGTATTAAGTGGGGACAGGATGAGTTTTACTCTTAAAATTAATCAGTATCAAACTAAGTCTACTGTGTGTGTGTGTGTTTTTTTTTTTTTTACTCTTACAGTTAGTCTAGTCTTATTTAAATTGGATTTTTGTATTCCAGTTTGTATGACAGAATAGATCAGTGCTAGTTGTAAATGCATGCTGTATGTCACTTTTCTCTCCCCATCATGCCGCTGAACTTGCTTGTCAGGTCGTGCTTAACTTGTGGTGAACTGGACTTGTTTTTGTTTAAAAAAAAATAGGCAAAAATGTAAGGGATAGTGCATAAGCCTTTTTTTTTTTTTTAACCTTTGGTAGTGGAATTTTTGCTTTTTTTTCGGGATTAGATGGCATGTTGTCCATATGAACGCCTGCTGCAGGGCTGATGCTGGCAATATGGCAGCTTTAAATTCTGTTACTAGTTTCCATGTCAAAGCATAGTGTGTAGCATATCAGCAATGATTACATATTTAAAGAAAATGAACACGTTTTCACCTCACTGAGCCAACTCATTTAATTGTCTAATGACTAATATACATGGTTTAAATTGTAATATATCAATGTGTATACACTATGTATATACATTATGTATAAGCTTTTCTCTGGGCCAAACTGCTTCATTTAAAAAAAAATTTTTTTTTTTTGGCGCCTTATGACAAATTTGTTTGAAGGGCATTTTCTTCATGAACAAAGGCTTTGATGCATATTCCTTTCTATGTGAAATGGGTAGTAGTGTTCCCTGAGGAAAGTTGCACAGTGAAAACCAGTCTAGTTGTGACCCACTCTGTGTTTTTCTTTTAAATCTCTATTACACAAGTTGAATTTTGCTGAATATGTTTGTAATTTGTCGGTTTGTTTAATGAAGTTTGGTTGATGCCATCCTTTGCACTGCTGAAGTGAAATCTTGCTTATTACTTGGCTTTTTGCTGATCTCAGTATGGGCAATGTAACAACACATCCAAATGGCTGGACAGACTTCTTGTGTTTTGTAAATAGAAACAATGACTGTTCTGTGTGTGTGTTTTATGTGGTCGTGGAGTATTTCCTTGAAGTGAAGCTTCACTTAAGCAGGACAGAGTGATTCTTTGTTTAGCAAGTTTAGGAGTGATGGTAAAATGGTAAGAAATAATATAAATGTTGAAGAAAGCACCACAACAGAACTGTAGGAGTCCAAATTTAATAAACCGTTAAAAAAAATGTCTAGAATATACCACGTTTTATTTAAAATCATTGTATGAAGTTTTTTGTTTAAAATAAAAATTTGAATACAATCAAAACATTAATAATGTATTCTTTGCTGTGTTGTATTTTTATAAACAACATATTCCACCATTCATATCAGAATTACTAAAAGAATTGTCGTTAAATTTTTTTTTCCCAACATTTATTTATTTTGGGGACAGAGAGAGACAGAGCATGAACGGGGGAGGGGCAGAGAGGGAGACACAGAATCGGAAACAGGCTCCAGGCTCCAAGCCATCAGCCCAGAGCCTGACGCGGGGCTCGAACTCACGGACCGCGAGATCGTGACCTGGCTGAAGTCGGACGCTCAACCGACTGCGCCACCCAGGCGCCTCTGTCAAGTGTTAATTTGAAATCTTCCTTTTTACCTGGACTACAAAGTCAGGCTTATGGCTTGACGTTCGGCTTATCTGCGTTGGTTGCACGTTATAACCACCTGGAAAACTTAAAAAAAAAAAAAAAATACAGATGCCTGGGCCCTGCCCACAGAGATTCTGGTTTAATTAGTGTGGGGTGAGGGCTGAGCTCCGCTTGTTCTGTTTGTGCAGGCAGGCCTGAGAAGCGCTGGCCCACAATCACCTGTAGAAGAGACCCATTCGCGCCCGTGACCCCCTCGCCTAGGCTCAGAGCCTGACTCAGCCTCTTAGATGGTACAACGCCAGTGGTGGGGAAAGGCGGAACCAAGGAAAGGAACCGGCTCTGCTGCTGGAGACCTACATGGGAGCTAGACTAGGCCGTCCCCCACGCTCTCCAGTGCCAGGCCCCTCCCGGCCTAGAGGCGTTTCTGGGCTCATTTCACCACCAGCCTGTGAGGGAAGAGTACTTTTAACTGAGGAGCACATCCCAGGAGAGGAAGAGTCGAAAAGGAATTTGAAGGGATGAGAATGTTTTGCCATTAAATAGTAGCGATGGTTGCACAACTTTGTGACTATACCCAAAAAACCCATTGAATTGTCTGCCTTTAAAGGCAAATTTTATGGTCTGGTTGATTCCATTCCATTTTTTTTTTTTTAATAAATGAAGGAAAATTAAAACCACTGTAAACGTACGATTTCCTTCCAGTCTTCTGGTACCGTTTGCTGAAACGGCTTCAAGAGAGTGCGTAGGACTGCTCTTTATGTGGCATCCTTGCTCAGACTAAGAATTGCCATTTTCACAATCTTTCTAAATTTGACAGATGAAAATATTGTACCTCGTTGTTTAAACATAGGGATTTTGTTTTTGAGAGAGAGAGGGTGCAAGTGAGCGAGGGGCGGAGAGAGAGAAGGAGAGGGAAGCAGGCTCCCCTGAAGCAGGGCTCGAGTTCACCCAACGTGGGACTCAAACTCACAAACCCTGAGATCATGACCTGAGCTGAAGTCAGATGCTTCATGACTGAGCCACCCAGGCGCCCTAAACATACGGAATTTTTTACGACTGGCAAGATTATCTCTGCACGTAAGATTTACAACCGCTGGAATGTCTTCCATTTCTTGGTCTTATTTAAATGAGGGTCTTAATGCTTTTTTATTGTGTATTCCACATCTCTTTTCTTTTTAACCATAAAAAACAGTTTACATTACCAGACAAAACACTGCTAAAATCTTTGCATTTAAGATAATGTCTTCCCAAGGCAAGATGGGGTAGGCATGGAAATAACTGATTAACATTCGTGTAACTAAATGGCCCACACAAGTGTCCTGATCAAAGATCAGTCTTCCCAAATGTGATTTCCCTGCCTTAGAACACACCATTTTCAGCTTTGAAGTAACAATATACTGACATAAAGCTTACGTGGCATGTACTATTTTTTTTCAATACATTTCTGAACTTCATTGGCTAGTATTTAGTGGAATATTTCCTGGGCTTTAGAGTGAGGTTACGCTAACAGTGCAGTCATTTGGGCTTTCCCTCCCCACCCCACTCCCCCACCCCCATGCTTCAGAAATTATTTAGCCAGGAATTATCTGTTCCTTGAAAGTTCGAAAGAATCTATCCATAAGACTTTACGGGCCTAGCACTTCAAAAACCTTTTCAGTTTATTTCATTGGTAATAATCAGTTCACATTTCCAACCTCTATTCTAAAGTCACTTTTAGTCATTTACACCATAGAGATGCATATGGCATTCTCATAATTTTCTTCCAACTCTCACTAGCTACGTATGCTGCAGGGCAGGAGGTCTGCAGCCCCCCGTGCGGGTTGAACTTGGACCTCTGATCTGAGAGTAGAGTTGGCTGGCAAGGCCATCCCTCCCGAGGCTACCAATACCCTCTTTCTACAAAGAAACCCTGACCCTGTGACTCCTCTTGATATGCTTTAATGGCTTGATGTTACCTTCAGGGTAAAGCCCAAGCTTTACTATGGCAGAAAGGCTGTTTTATGGGGTGCCTCGGTGGTTCAGTCGGTTAAGCTTCCAACCTTGGCTCAGGTCATGGTCTCACAGTTTGTGGGTTCAAGCCCTGCGTCGGGCTCCGTGCTGACAGCTCAGAGCTCATTCCCTGGAGCCTGCTTCCGATTCTGTGTCTCCCTCTCACTCTGCCCCTCCCCTGCTGGTGCTCTCTCTCTCTCTCTCTCTCTCTCTCTCTCTCAAAAATAAAAACATGAAAAAGTGCGCCATTTTAGGTTGTATCCTCGCCAGCACCTCCAGATCCACTTGTTACCATTTTGCCAAACTCACTCACATAAACTCTCATTGTAAACTTCCTGCATTCCTTGACGTCTGCCTTTCCCTGCTCTGGGCTTTGTGCCTGTTGCTTACTCAAACTCCAGTTCCTCTGACCTCTGCCCCGCTCTCGGGACTCTGCTCAGGGTGCCAACCCTTCCATGACTATCTTCTCTGGTTATATGCCCGGTGTCTGTGCCTCCCCAGCCTCACCCTGCACTTCTGTCCTAGCACTTAATACTAGTTCTTGTAATTGCTCCTATAGTTGTTTGTGTTCATCATTAAATTCGAAATGTCAAGGGCAGGGAGGGTCAGTCTCTTACTTGACTTTGTGTTCCAAGCGCCTAGCTTAGGACCTGACACAAAGTCCGTTTTATTGAATGAATTAACGAACAAATAAAGATAAGCATGCCTGCAGCACTAATCTTATGCCTACAGCCAATCACGTCATAGTTAGGAGCGCAGACTGTGGAGCCAGACCGGTTGGGCCCACTTTCCAGCGTCACCATATGCTTCCTGTATACACTCCCTGCGCCTCAGTGGATTCCAGTGTGATCTACTTCTCAGGGTCGATGTGAGAATTAAAGGAAATACTGCATATGAAAAGCCACATTCTTGGTAAAAGCTTGTGTTACAATAAGGATCTCCAGTCACTAAGTGAAAATGAAAGCTTAGTTGCACAGTCGGACAAAGTAGCTCTTCTTCCTCCAAGGCTTGAGGAAAAGAATCGTTCAGAATCTGATGGAGAGAGTTGCTTGATCTTTTGTAGGGCAACTGACCCCTCCGCCCTTGGTGGTTCACAGTAAATATTCTATCTAGCGTTCAAGACAAAAAACCAATCTGATTTATTTAAACTATTATAAATAGTGCTACTGTAGCCCATATAATACTGGCCAGAATGCTGGCTGATGGCCTGAACTGCAAGGCCTGGCAGAAAATTGCAAGGCCTCACTGCACAGGCCTGCATTCCCATAAGAACAGTCCACAAAATCTGAAGACTGAGCACGTGGTGTTCACAGCAGAGCGTTGCAACACGCTATGTGCAATGAGGTGCACCCGTGACATGGGCAACATTCAAGGAATTTTACCTGACTGGAATGTTTCCTGCTATTATTCTTTAAAAGGACAACTGGTTCTGTGTAACTAAAAGACATTTCCTGGGTGTTCTCTGACCCTGAGCACTGAGAGCAGTGAGTGTGGAGGCTGAGGTCTCTAGACCTGGCTTTGCAGCTTTCATGGTTCCTAAGCTGTAGGATAAGAATTATTTTATTTTTAATTTTTTTAATGTTTTTTTTTTTTTCTTTGAGAGAGAGCGAGCAACCGCAAGGGCAAGCGGGGGAGGGGCGGAGAGCCAGGGAGATACAGAATCCTCAGC